CGAAGTGTTGCGCACTCGCAAGGCACAAATTTTTGGATTCGCGCATAAAAGATGTCATGTGGCATCAACGAAAATGAGGTTCGCATAGCATGATGCAATCGTTTTTTCTGATACGGTATGTGTACGGTAAGACTTGAAATCCTTAGAATTTGGTGAGATTGAGAAAGACTTAGTCACGATGAAAAACTTGAATGCAGCGCCACTGCCACGATTTATGTTGCTTTAAATTATATTAGAAATAATACCGATAAATAGCTTCTGGTTTGTTCATTATTAATAGCGCAGAAAAATTTTCCAAAGTTTCAGAAGTTTTGTAGGAATACGAAAAAAGTATAACAACTACGTTTGAACATACCGTCATTTACAATGGGATCTACCTGATCAAGCGCTAGGTAGAGCATCTTCCAAGCGTTACAAATTTTTTCTATTTTTGATAACGTTCGTAACCATTGCTATGAAGCTAAGAATGACTACAGAATATAATTGCAGTAGTACTGAAGTAAAAATGTTAACGACAAAGATTTTATTATTTTGCCAGATGTAGTAAAGGAAACTTTTCGGGACGAATAACAGTTTACTGCTTGATTTTGCAGTAATCGGTAGATCTTAAACATCTGTAGTCTCAAGCAATTGAAAAAGATGACTGTGTTCATTCAAAAAGTAAACGACATTTTCTTCCTCGTCAATGATCAGAGAAACCAAAGTTCAGCTATAAAATATTTATGCACAAGAGGAATCCACTTCAATTGAGCACAATTACAGCTCAGATATTCTGCGGGTGTAGTGAGCACTGAACTGCCAGATTCCTTAAGGGAAAGTGGCTTGCAAAAATAAAATAAATGCATTTGGAAGACCCACCAATATGGAGTACTTCAAAAAAGCAAATAAATACCGAGTAAAACAAGGGAAGCAAGCACTGCGACCAATTACAAAAAATATGTATAATATATACACTCACAAAGCTGTTTAAGACCTAAAGTTCCAAAACATTTTTGAACTCAATCTACAGGAGGTATGCGATTGAGCAGTTCCCTGTTCATCTCCAAAATCTCGTCCACTTGTTCTTTGATTTGATCCATCTCCTCCGATAGTCTTCTGTCATTTTCAATAACAATTGCAACCATGGCCTCAATCCTTGTTAGTCTTCTTAGCACTTCCTTCATAAAAACGGTTGTTTTAACTTCGATCTTCGCTGCATCTTCAACATCACTTGATTCTTTGTTGCTGACTGGAGAGAATTTCATGGCTTACAGACCGCTATATGGATGTATCCTAAATGTTCATATTACATTAAAATTCCAGCATAAAAACGTTCATCAAAAAACACCTAAGGATACTACCAATAAAACGAAACTTCACTTACAAAATCTGGTTTTTATTCCACAAAACTTCACGATCTAGTGTGATTAGTAGTAGATGGGAATGACACGGAAATCGAAGAAAAACTGAAACGACTTTCTCCTTTAAGCTGTTGAAATTTAGGTTTTCCATAGTGATTCACTAATCGAGACTATAATGTCATGTTTTAGAACATAATACTGGAAAATTGCAATTGTGTAAAAAATTATTTT